GCTTTCTTGATTACCACTTTTGGTGCCATACAGATCACATATTGTCATCTGAATAATTGCAGTTTCTGAAGGAAATTGTCGTGAAATTTCCCCTCGAACTGTGTAAATCTCGATGAAACCTTGAGGTTTAAATTGGAAAATAAAAACAAAGACAGAACTGAAACGATTGAGAAGTGCACCACAAATATACTGAGAGAGCTTCTTACAAGGAAATTGATCGACAACTGTACCTACAAAGACTTAAGACCTCAAAGGTCTCGTATGCCTTACATGTACGGCCTGTCAAAACAAAACACAAGCAAGCTGTTCCCATAAGACCTATACTTTCTGTGGACAACTCACTCCAGAACAAAGTTTCTTGTTAATATATGTGTAAATAATACTGTTTCACTGTGTGATATATCTAATAAACAAACTAATATGGAAAGTTACTTGTTGGCTCGCAGTGATGCTGGAGCCTATTCGTCAGCGACTGTCTCCGTATACAGTTAAAGACTCACTTCATTTTTTCGATAGCCTGAACAACATGAACATTTCCAATAAGTTCATGGTAACATTTGTTGTAACCTCCTTATTCACAAGAACTCCGATCCGTGAAACTGTCGATATCATATGCCAGGATTCCGATTTGATCCCTTTGGCAGTAGAAGAATTTAAACGCCTACTTCCAATGCGCACCACAGATTTACAATTTAAATTTGATAATAACTTCTATCGTCAATTAGTTGGTGTAGCTATGGGCAGTCCACTAGGCCCCATACTAGCAGGCATCATATCTGATTTTGAGGTAACAAAACTGAAAAGGGCGATTGATGAGACAATTTCATTTTGTCGATATATTGATGATACTGTCATATAATGTGATCATGGAAATCATGCATCTCATCTACTTCAACTGTTCAATGACGCACATGAAAATACTGACTTCCAAGTGGTACATGAAACTGATGGAAAGTTCCATTTGCTCGATATTGCCATACAACGCTTGAAAGATGGAAGTCTGAAAAGATTCATTCACCTAAAATCCATGTGGAATGGACTGTACTTAAATTTCAATAGTTTTTGCCTTATTAGCTATAAATGAGTATTGGTCAAAACTGTTTTACAGAGCCAGAAGGATATGTTCCACAGAAATACTGGAGGAAGAACTACTAAACATTGAGAAAGTTTTTAAAAATAATGGTTACCCTCCTAAATTTATGAAAAAGTATGGAAGATCTGAAAATCTACAAGTGAAACAAACCACAGTGAATAAGGAACTTGTCTTCATCCAGCTCGATTTTAAAGGAAATAACAATGGAGGAATAATCAACAGAAGACTGAAAACTTCTCTAGCCAGGACCAATCCTGAAGTCAAATTGGTTCCCGTTCATAGTACAAACTCTTTGGTGTAATCAAAGGTTGATAGATACCCTTTCCACATTAACTCTAATTATGTACACAAATTCACGTCTATCTCCAGGAGCAGTTACATTGGGATAACAGGAAGAAGGGCATATCTCAGATTCTCTGAACATGTACCAAAAAGTTTACGTCTCAAGGGGACATATGCTGTGAACAGTGATATTGCCAGACATCTTGTTGATACGGGTCATGAGGTGGATACAGTGAAATCCTCCAAGATTCTTAATAGACAGTATGAATCAGCTCTCCTCAAATTTACCTAAAACACCGTTATCAAACACTTAAAGCCTGACTCGTGGGTCCAGAGCGATTCATCTATTAGTCTTTCCTTGCCTTGATGACACAACGTCTAGTCTCTTTACTTCAATTGATTACATAATCTTTTGCTTTTACCCTCCCCACACCTATTTTTACTTTAATGTAACTTAGTTCATTTTTGTTACTATGACTTGAGTTAAACTCACCACACTATTACTCATCATTAACTTTTCACTTCTTGTCTTGAGTGTGCAACTCAATTTTCAAAGTCTCCGGCCATTAATTTTGCATGTTTGTATTTATTTTGAACCTTGACCTCTTCCTTCATAAGTTATATAAGTGGAACTTCTGAACACTGTTCATTAACATGTGTGTCTCTGTTAACGGAAATCACTTTGATCCTTGCAAGTATGACAAAGTTCTGTGTACATCTACATAATCCACTTTTAAGTTGTGAGCAGTCGAAGAGAAGCCAACGAAATAAATGATGGCCTCATATTATTCTGTACAAACATTTGTTGTTTTGCTTTGCTTAAATTCGTAAAGGGGAATAAATTTAAGAAGAAAATTAAGAATTTGATTCATGAATTGTGCTGATGAACTCAAACATAACTAAATATTCCAATAGTTGTGAATATATATAGCCCAGGAAATGATTGTCTATGAGGAGGCGCACATACGGCGCAAACTACCACCTATGTGTTACAAACATTGCAACTACTCACCTTTGAATCGGATTGAGTAGTTTCGCATGCACATTTTGTTGTATGTTTAATTTGTTTTTCATTGGAAAACGATTAGACAGGACAGAAGTTGTTGTCGGGCCTGCAATGATATCTACAAAATATGGATTATGCACATTTCGATAGTGTACTGACTTTTCACTTTCCTAAGAAAAACGGTATTCTTGCTTTCACCGATCTGCAAAGTAAGCATATTCCAACATATGAGAATGTAACAGCCCAACAACCCGCTTAGAATCAGACATTTTCGTCTGTTGGCTAAACTTTAATAACCTCAAACTACAGACAACAACCAAGATTTCGATCAGCATAGTCAAAATATGCCCATAATCCCATCTACTGAATAATTTATGCTTGACTCATGCGCAACCCCCAGTACAATTCTATAAGTTTATACACACTACTTTATTATAAACAGTTTACACCATAATCATTGTCCTGCAAAATCAGTGTAAGTTTTAATTACTTGTCTCTAGTATCGAACTAAGCTAAATTCAAGGCTAACTACTGATTCTCCAAAAAAGTATAGAACTGAGGTGGCTACGACTACAAGATACCATAAGTATTGTGAGTAAAATATCGCCTAGAGTTTCGAAGAATATTCCACTAATGATAAGCACCGGGATTCTTGAACACCATTTCCCTTTGTCTAGCAATTTGCACGCTGGCAAATAGGACCACCAGGTGGACATTTACAGCCGAGGAGAGACATACTAGTCTGCATTCTTTTTGTTGCATTATGGCTTCAATTTAAGCGTAAAAGTTGAGATGTATAATGCTTCAGTGGGAGTAGGCCAGTTCTACGTCCTTAGTAAGCTTCTCCAGTCTCTCTCTCTCTATGACGGTCACCTTCAGACTGTTCGACCTGACTGGCTACATCCTGCGAATAGTCATGTGGAGCATGTCCAGATACTATATACATCATTATTAAAAGAATAAATTGAGTCTCGAAACATACGCTTCATTCCGTCGGTAAAATTTTTAACATACTATCCTGAAAGCCTCGATACTGTATTCACTGATGTTTACCAGTGGGACTCATAAAAGTGAGCAACTGTGGTTAGTTCATTATATATTGCGTGGTGGGGTGATGACTATGCTAACGTAACAACTGTCAGTGGGAATTCGCAAAGACCACGTGAATTTGAAAAGCAAAACGTGACTATAAAAGTGGTTAGCGAGTTGTCATCTGAACTTGTGACAACTAGTGGTGTCCGACAGGGATGCCAACTATCCCTTTTCTATTCAATTTCATCATAGATGTACCCTAACTAACTTCAGAGACTCAGGGATTGACTTTCTAACAGGAAATAATCTCGTTGACTTAGAATATGCAGATGACATAGTCCTCTTTCTAGGTGAGGACGCTGACATAATGCAGTCTTCTGAACACCTTGAGCTGAAATCTGCGAATGTTTGGCTTGCGATTCGCTCCCGCCAAATGTAAGGTGATGCTACAGTACTGGACTACATTGACTCATAGCTTAAAAATAGGGAGTGAAGTAGTTGGTGGAGCGTGTTGACCACTTCACTCAATTGGGAAGTTGCATCAGCCAACGCCAATGGGGTGATCACTAACGAAATCTCAGTACGGATACAGAGGGCTAATTTCACATATGGCAGTTTACCCCGTCTCTGGCTTAGTAACCGTGATATCCGGCTATCAACCAAAGGGCGGGTGTACTGCTCAGCAGTCCGGTCCGTCTTCCTTTATGGCTGTGAAAAAAGACTAGCTGTCTTTGATCATAAGTGCCAGCGTTCTATCTCCCGTGTGAAATGGTATAATAAGGTAATGAATATTTAGGTTAGGCGTCGAGTGCTAGGTAAAGAGGGGAAATCAATAGACGAGGCTGTGAAGTTACGTCGACTGAGATGGTTAGGACGTGTTACGCATGCCATCGCCTTCCTCTACGGGCAGTGTTAGCTGACATAAGGTCAGGTTGGAAAACAGCCAGCGGTGGTCAAAGCAAAACATGGCTTCATCAGTCAATTAAATCCACAACAGTTAGCTTAAGCCACGTAGGAAGATGTAGACTTCTTGGCTGGGGTCCTCGGGACGGTAAACACCAATGAAGGCTGGAGACAATTGGTGATATGGCTCAAAATCGTTCTCAATGGTGCAGATGCATCCACTCCTTATGACTTATAATTTCAAACAAAACTATGTTGTTCTTCAATATTACTATTCTTTTTGCCTCATATCTCTCTTTACTCTCTCTATTTCGCGTTTCGTTTTACTTTCTTCTTCTTCTCTGGCTTTGTGTGCTACATGGAGTGTGGCGACTCGAACTGCTGCACATCGATGCAAAGTTCTATGTTGAAACCAGTCAGTCAGTCAGTCATAAATATGGTTGAATATACTTTAGCCATTATCCTTCTATAAGTGAAAAATACTACACACTATTGTGCATATGTCATAAGAACGTTGTTCTAATAATCCTGTTGCGTATTTTACTCTCCCTAGCCACATTTCGCGTTTTCATCATACCCTTACATCACCACCTTATAAAGCATTTGCCAACTATGACCAAGCATTTTGAAGAGGCTGCATCAACCGTCTACCAACAATACAGCGAAGGAAATAAAAGCCCCTTCTCAAATACAAATACAGCATTTATTTACAAGTGATAGAACGTTAATACAGAAAAGAAAAATATAGGAGATAGAAAAAAGGTCTGAATGTACAACACAAATTATTATACAACACTGATGATGTTTCACATTAACAATGTATTCTCTCGAAGAAAATACAATGTAACTGATGCTAAAAATCCTGGAATTGAATGATTCACCTTCAGATATTGATGTATATCTTCTGGAAGAGATTTACTGAATTTATTTTCAACTAGTTCGTACTGTCCATCCACTTTCTAGATACAAACACACGTACACACATACAAATTGAGAGAAAAGTTGAGGAAATCAAATATAAGTGAAGAAATTCACTTGTAAACACAATGCTTTTACGTTAACGTACTGTCTATTTAAAGCTTGAACCGTGTTTTCTGGAGTTTTGAAATTCAACACACTCATAGTACACTTAACAATGGAAGTATTCAGCGACAGGCTTTCAAAACAGTTCTACTGTCATCATATTATGAAAGAAATTCAAAGGCTTTACACAAGTAACTGGGGACATTAGCCAAACTAATTCTGTCGGTCAAAGAAACCTGGGGAGTAACCAATATCATGTGTGTAGCCATTGGTCTTCGTGCTGATTGAATCCTATCAGTCAACTTTGCAATCGTTGTACACTATGTGTGTGAGTGGCTTCAGGGAGTCAGAGGCAATCGGCAAGATGCCCTGCACGTGGACTTCATGCTTATGAGCACTTGCCAACAAGGCGTACCTGTAACCTTGAGTTACCTCAGAGATTAGATTCGAGATCCTATACAGCTTATAATAATTATGCAAGGAATGTGATATCAAATACACTAATGAAAGTGGTTTTCCTCCATATATTAGACCGTTAAAGTGCACAGTAGAACACACGCGAAATACTTTATCAAATTATTGTCTTAAATAATTACACCTTCTTATTAAAAATTCACCTTGAAATCAGTCATCAATGAGCAGTGGATTTGTTAAAATGGCAATATCCATCTACCATTTAACGGCTTTTAGGTAGAATTCGGTTTACTTTAAGGTCTATCAATGAAATCGGACTAAAATTCTCATAAATTCATGCACATATTATTATGCATGTGTTATAAGGAAAGAAAAACAACTGTAAGGTAATTAAACTATTGCGAATATGTACAGATGCGTCGGCGGCTAATTGATACAATGTTTGCCAGCTACGTAAGTCGTCCGGGTTCCATATCCAACCGATGCACTCCTAAATATAGTCTAGTTCACTAATCGATAATAAGTTTGGATAATAGGGAAGGTTTGGTGTGAGGCTAGTAAGCCAACTTGTTAAACGCAACACACCATGGTTACTGAAAACTTGAAGCCCTATGTTTCATTCGGGATGTAAGGAATTTCAGAAAGAAACATAACTACCCACCTTAAAGTATAAGTTATCTTCCTCACTAACTGCAAAAACAGGACACACTTGACAATCTCCACAAGACTGAATGTTAATCCGATATCCTAGCAGATCACGGCAGGAAGCACGATACTTAGCCTTGGCTTTATCGAATAACTCCATTAATCGATCACCGCGTAAACGTTCTATACGAAGTTGCTCTTTTGTTTCTGAAACAAAAGAGAAACAGACAGAGAAATAGAATTTTTAATATGATAAACATGTTATATGTGATTGGAGGTATTGCTCACTGGCTTGAGCACTCAGCCTTCATAATTATGTCATCCCTATACTCTAGTTCGGCTATGGAACTAAGTGAAATCATCATCGATGCGATTGGCTGTTAATACATCGCAAAATAGTTTTTCAAGTATTGGTTTTTTTAGGGATTAACTTTGATTGGTTGGAGGATTTTATCATCAGCTGACATCGTTTAAAGAACCAATGGGAAACCTGAAGTATTGGACGGCTGCTTCGTCCTAGTTTGGGACTCCTCATCATCATCAATTCATGACATAGCGCTTTGTCATTGGCAGAAGTTAAAATTCATGGACTGGCCATCGGATCGGATCCCAGTGGCTTAATGGTCTACGAGCTCACTAGCCTTGTAACCAAAAGGTCCTGGGTTCGAACCCCGGTGGATGCTTACTGATGAGGAGTCCCAAACTAGGACGAAGCAGCCGTCCAATACTCTCAGATTTTTCAATGGTTCTCTAAACAATAGTTTTTCCTTGAAAGATCTCAAACAGTTGTTTTAATATCATTAAAATGAGTTAGTGCCATATTCCACCTATTTCACAACCACTTCTTTCATATTGATTGAGTCAAGAAGTACTAACCACAAGTAGGAGGTCCCTAAAGTAAGATTACAAAGAAGAGTAACTGCCATCAGCTTACCTGTCGTAAACTTTAGAAAAAATAATGACTATACCTACCTTTCTGGTATTGAAGGCAGTCATCAATAAAAGCAAACAAGTAGTAAGACTACATTATATGGACGTGACAAAGTTGTCTAAAATATGCACAATGCAAAATAAATATCATGGCCCTTATAAACGACCTTGCGCAGCCGACGGTGAGCAGATTTCGGTCTTCTTCTCCACATGCTCACATGTAGCCAAGCACCCAGCCTTGCCAGCCAAGTAAGTCCTATTCCCTGCCTTCACACAGCTGGAGGTTTTCCTCACAAAAGTGAAAGGGTGAATACGAACGTCTTGCGCTTACAAACCTACCGGTGGACATACACGCTAATCTAGAGGATCTGGAAAACTGATTCCAAACCTATGGTGTACGTGATCTCCAGAATCTGAAAGGATCGAATAGTATATGAACCTGTTTGGCCATCGGAAATCGGAGAAATGAAACTCCTGACGTTCATCCACTGGCTTGTGGATCAAAGGCTTGTGTGGTGGCCCCTTAGGACAGTCACTTACTTGAGTCTGCGCATCCAGACAGAGTATGCCAGCCCACGCACAAACTACACAAGATTTTGTGTGGCGCATCTCTTGGTGGCCACTAAATAGCTTCATGAAAACTTTAGTAACTAGAGTATTGTGGAGAATAAAATGATAAAATCTGTAACCTCAACACAGAAACAAATGCGTCTAATTAACAGGCATGGACAACAAACAGCAACGACTGACATGCTGACATTCAATAAACCGATTCATCAGAGGAGAGCCACAGAAAGATGAGGGGAAAGAAAGAGAACCTCTATAAAATGCATAGAAAGTGTGTAACAAGTGAAACATACACCAAAAGATTATAACTTTAAGCAAAACAATCTTAAGAATACAAGGAAAAAGAACTTGATGGTGAACAACTGTATCACTGAAAGAATGTAAAACTTAAGACTATAAAAATATTTCAATTTATCCAACTATACAGTTAACTTAAATATACACACATTATGCTGCAAGCTCCACACTGTATAAAGTAATACCGTTCAGAACAAAACCTGCACCATTAATGATTTTATAAGGATAGAATAGTCACAGGAACTAATCAGCCTACCTGCAAGTTCAGTTAATGGATCAGGATTTGAACGTAGTCGACTTTCAACAACATTTGTAACATCTAAATCCATTGTAACATTGGTATCCCCCTTTTGTTGATCTCGATTTTGGGTGAAATGAACAATGCGTTCTTCTAGAACCTGTAAACAAAGACTACACTTGATCAATGTGAATAAAAGATGATCCTAGAGTTATTTTGACTTTCACATAGACATTAGAATATGAAAATGCCAAGTATACAAAAGATGAAGTTACACAGACACGAGAAAAAGGAAAAATAGCACGTCACTAAAGTGGAACAGAAGTTCGAGCATTTTTCATAATATACACCGAATAAGAATATCAGTATTTTAGAATTGCAGATTTAAACACGAAGCATCAACACTGCTTCCATCCCAGTTCATTTAATCTATGATTAAAGATATGTACCCTTCAATTTCAAGAGAACTGACGTAATTCATTCATTAAGTCAGAGGTAATTCACAAGTGTTGTTTTGCAGGGATATGAACAATTTCAAGTCAGAAGTAACTGAAGCAATTGTATCCTCGCTTTCTAACGGAATAAGTAAAGTGATTAGTTAAACGCCATGCTTTGGGATTAACTTCAAAAATGTATAAGATTCACTCATAGAACAAGTTATCATTACAAACAGACAATTATAAGAAAGTACAACTTTGAACAAGTCAAATTATCATTACGCTATATAGTACTGATTAATTGATATAAGTAGTTGGGTGCCATTCATTAACCCAGTGGTGCTTGCTGGCTGAGCTGAATTAAAGCGGGTAGACTGCTGATGAATTCAACTCAAAACAAGTCACCCGATGTTTAGACCACTTTCAACTGGCTGATATGAGTGGCGTCCAACTCCCCATATCAATCAATCAGTAATATATACAGCGTTCTGCATCTTGTGATCTGATCTAGAATTCCGGTTTCCAAATGAAACTGTAGTGGAATTCCACCTCCTTGAACTATGGGAATTGTGAACTGCAAACTAATTTGCTAATTACAAATTTGATTGAAGTTACCATTACAACAGAATCAACACACCGACATGAGAATAGATGACTAGGACGGAAAAATGTCGACCATTATACTCACAATCACAAGAAGTTTCATATGACATACAGAATTCATAATAATGGTACCAGAAATGAATTCACCTATTCAGGATTAGCTTTTAATATACTAGGCAAAAGAGAGTACAAGCAATGTGTTACCATTAGGTTGTTTAAGCTAAGATAAACGAAGCAACAATTCAAATATATGAAATAAATAAGTTGCAGTTAGATCTAAATATAAGGACTGGATAAAAACGATAAGCTGCCAACTGTTGGTTGAAGCTGTGTACACAAATACAAACCTAGGAGTACTGAGTGGCTATTTTATCCTCGTTTGGGACTCATCATTAGTACACACTCACTGGGGTTCAAACCCGGGAACTTCCGGTTACAAGGTGGGCTGTTAGACTATTCAGTCACCGGAGACTAGACCCAATGGTCCATGAATTCCAACTTCTGTCTATTCGCCATATATATGGAACAACCGCCAGCCAATGTCGATCTTCAGTAACTGTCCTCTTACCAGACTTGGTGGACCCCACCGGTCACAACTCACTAGGGATTCCAAGAGCTGGGATTCACTGGCGAATGGGTCGGATCTCAGTGGTTGAATGGTCTACAAGCTCGCCTCGTAACCTGAAGGTCACTGACTCAAAACCCGGAGGGGGAGTACTGCCAAAGTGTCCCATCCACGCCAGGAAGAAACAGCTGTCCAGCACCCCCTAGTTTTCCAATGGTTCTCTAATTGATGTCGGCTCGTGATCAAACCTGCAACCAATCAGGACCCCAGAAACCAACATTTAAAAAATATAAGCTTTGTAACTAAAGTTCATGAAATAAGGGAAACACATAACTGAATGCTTCGCAAGCAAATTAATATACAAAATAAATAAGCAAAAAAGATGTGAAGAAACCACACTACCACTAACTGAGTAGTCCGTTTAACCACTCATATCAATAACCAACAAGTATTTCCTGATATTGAACTAATTTCGTGTTCAATGAACAAAAACTACTTATATCGCTTACTTGAATCCGTTGACGTTGACGTTCTGTTAGCAAACGAAGTTCACTTAATTCTTTTGATAAATTCTCTTTGATGATTGCAGCAGGATTATGTTTATAAGTTAATATTTTAGTAGTTCTCGTATCACACATACCCTAGGAAAGAATATGTCAAAGTGATTTGAGTGAATTTCAATGCAGATTTAGTCACAAACCAACATCAGTCAGCGATCTCATTAGAAACCACTTGGGAACACTGGACAACTGAATTGTGCCAGTTTGGGACCTTTAAACAGTGCGCACTCACAACTCTACCAGGGATCGGACCCGAGACCTTCACGCTACAAAACCAAGCTCATTGATCATTCAGACAGAATGATGCGAGAATTCGATATGTAGCGCAATCCTGAACCAATGCCTTCGATGAGCATCCACCACTTCACCTTGACATGGTAGACCCCACTAGTCACGACTTCTTTGTACATCTTCAGGACATTCATCCAGTAGCCATCAATAAGCTACAGATTGATATTTAGAATATGGTTTTTCGTAGGAATTCGGATTAATTTCCATCTCTGTTAGGATATTGAGTCGGCGTTGATGAAGAGCCCCACACTGGGATGAAACAACTGTCTAGTGCTCCCTGGTTTTCAGTGATCTTGCTAACTGATGTTAGTTTGTGAAGAAGATTACAATGAATAGACAAACTGTTGAATAAACAGTTGTATACTTTGATTAGACACTAGTAACTAGTGTGAAGTGTCTAGTCCTTTCTTTGGTGCAGAATGAATTTTATCAGTCAGGTTTGCAATGTGGCCACCATTCTAGGTAGCTCGCCATTAAGGTGCACATTGATTTGATGATATTGGACGAGTGCCAACTAGCAAGAAACCTAGGTCCAAGGCTTCCCGCTGATTGCCTCCAAACATCTAATATGATCAAACAGTTGCATGTACAAACTCGTGAGTAAAAGTTATAGACTAGTACGAAAACAATTATCTCATAGTGATAGCGATTTGCGACTAAATGAAATCTAGTAACTACGCTCATGAACTTGGCAACGTACGACAGTTAACATGTAAAGGTGTATGGTACTATCCAGTTTCCCGGTCATATGATGTAGAAAAATGTTTTATCCAGTAAAATTTTGTTTGGAAGTGAAACTTCTGAAATGTTTAGAAGTGAATATCCACAAACTTATTTAGATCATTAACTCTGGTAGTTAATACGTTATTAATAGTTATAATTAGAGTTCACCAAAATACAGAGATATATCTGGCCTGTGTGCATTTCCATTTCGATGATTCTCTATAAAACAAGTTGTAGATTATGACTAAAACTGTTCTGAAATCCACCTACACCTCTCCCTTACAAGTTTTTCATGTACCTTGACATTCTTCTTGATGTATCTCTGTTGAATAAACTGGAAAATTTATCATTTAAAATATTGGGTTAAGTTTTCACGAGACAGTACCGTATTCTAAAAACTATCCTACATTAGACCATACAAGCAGGGTACATCAACGAAATGTAAGAAGCTCTTGATTGGTATCTGCGTCGCACTACTGTCTGAGTCATCAACAGTCCACAAATGTGCGCTATATAGAGCATCAGATCCACGAGATTTAGATGCTGTACAGGATTAAGGAATCAGCATGTTGATAAACACTGTGTCTGTGGTTTAGCGATAGAATGCTCGCCAATCAAGCCCCACATAGTCTGGAGTTCGATCCTCGGTTGACACACTCTTAAACCTCACGGCGTAAAAATAAAACCACTGCTACCAAAACTTCAAAGCCCTACCTTGTAGTCCACAATATGTTCCACTAGGAACGTAAAAGAATAAAACAAAAATTCAAAACTATTAGCTGCCTAGCTAACCTGTGCCCACAGGTTATGTCAAATAGTCATTTAGCTCATTTTAAAATTCATTACCCGCATATGATATACATCCAGTTTGTCAACTAGTTCAGCATTTGTATTCTTCAATGTCTCAATGTTCTCTTCCAATTCAGATATCTGTTGTCTGAAAATCAAACAAACAATGAAAAGCATGAACAATTGTAAATATGATGATATAACCTTAAAAGTATACTGGCAACATTTGTATATGCAAGTGTGTACGTGAGCGTGTGTTAATGTAAGAGTGAAATTTAGCCAATGTGGTAGAATATGACTCAGAGAAAAAAATGAGCGAAGAAATGTATTTCTTTTCAATTAGTCTCTCATCATGGGGCTCTACACTAATATATAGTTTTCTGCATCAATATATGAAACACTAAAACCTATCGGCGCGGTGACACCTATGTTATACGGCTTACCACTTAGACCAGTCCTCGATTTGTCTAGCTCACCATACCATTCAACTGCTAAGTGGCTGCTGGAACTTTTACAGCTGTTGCATAAGAAACTTGTGAAAAATAGCGTAAAAGATAGTTTTGAGTTTGTAGGAAGAATCAAGGAATTAAATTTGAAGGATAAATACATGACATCACTGGATGTATCTTCCTTATTCACCAACATGCGTTTGGTGGAAACAGTTGATTGCATATGTTATAAATTGATAAAGCAAGGTATAGAGAGTGGAACTCCCGTGTCTTCCCTAAAGGAACTTCTTCTAAGGTGTACAAGGAACGTAAACTTTCTGTTTAATAATAAAGAAATGTATAGACAATTAGATGGTGTTGCCATGGGATCACCACTAGGCCCAGTCCTAGCAGATTTTTTCCTTGTAAAACTACAGAATGGACACCTTAAAGATGTAATATATAATTTTGATTCCCATTGCCCATATGTCGATGATATATTTATAGTTGTGAAGAAAGAAAGTGAGACGAAGGACATATTGGAAAAATTCAATGAAGCACATACTAGCATAAGCTTCACTAAAGGAGAGGAAGAAAATAACTCTACCTCCTTTTGAGACGTCCTAATGACTAGACGAACAGATGGAACAATAATGATGATGAAGGTGATGTGAATAAAGGAGAATGATGCTCGGGGAGGCTTTGTATGCTCTTGGAGGTCTGTGTGTGTTACTTCCCGGCTGCCCATACCGTGGAAGTTGATTGATTCTTCGGGTCTCTATCAAAATAAAATTTACCCATAATCGAATTACACTCTACCACAGTGCCCAAGTTTTATTCTTATATCAATGACTCTTCGGGTACCTGAAACAGAAAGAGAGTTAGTGTTGCGTTACCGCACAGCCCAGAGGACAACTGCTTGAGGCCAGTCACACACGGCCTGTCTGAACTGGTTTCTTGGTTTGGTTCCGTATTAGTAAACTTACCACCGGTTACGGACCACCGTAGGGTAAGTCGGGATGTACAATTGTTGGGGTCGACCTTTTCTAACGCTTTCTCTCCATAGTGGAGAGACAGCATAGCTAGCATGCTGGTCATCTGAGGGAGACAACTCACTGCTGTTACATCCCTGTTCCTCAGCAGTACGACTTCGCCCACTGACCCCCAGCATAATGTAAAAGAAATTCTTACACAATGCCGGAAACTGCTTTTAGTCTAATCGCTATCCTAACAACCTTCCTGGCATGGTAGGACCTGCAGGAACAATAGTTCCAGCCAGTGTAGCTTTTTGGGTCATTGTGATGTGCAAGCCCGACCACCACGTCAAGGTAGCAGCTATCGATTAGGAGACGTTTGCATAGAAAACCTACTTTCATTGGACAGTTATACTCACTACCTGAGTTTCGTATCCCTACAATACAAACGTAATCTAGTTAGATGTCTGGTTCACCGGACTAGAGTTATCCGTTCAAATGAGACACTGAACGAAGAACTCGGTAATATTTGTGATCCACTTAACAGAAACGGATATCCGACTATATTCTTGAAAAAACACGTGAACTCAGAGAGTAAAAAGTTAAAGGTGCCGACTGTTCCCAAAAAATCAGTCTTCCTACGATTACAATTCACGAGTGATGTCAGTAGTGAGATCTTACTACAACGTCTGAGAAGGGTCTTTAAAAGGACTTTCAACGCATCTAAGCTATGCTGTATATTCACTCGTCAACTAGTACCTAGTTCAAGAAATAAAGACAGACTGCCCTGTTTCACCTCTTCATCAACTGCTCATACGAAGCTAGTTACATCGGGCGTGCGCTAAGGCAAGTTCAGCGTCCAATTTCTGAACACCTCCAAACTTGGTTTGGCAAAGGTCCTAATAAAGCTGCTACACTCAGCTCATTACTAGCTCATCTCGTTGATACTGACTGGATATCAAGTCGACTCTAACAAAGCTTTTAAAGTCATTTATCGTATATCACCCAATGTCTCGCCACGTGGTCTACGAGTGCGACCTTTACATACAGCAGAGGCAATCGGAATTCATCTGAACAAATCAAATCTGTGTGTTCAAAAGAAATTTGTACAACCCCTTCCTTTGCCATAGCTAACTACATAATATGTATTAAGTTTTTAGAAACGATTTTTCCCCTCCCCTTGAAACTATATTTTGACTTTGTTACTTTTTCGTACAATTCTAGCTGATTCTACTAACTTGTTTGTATTTTACTTAATTTCACTGAGTCATCCTATTTTCCTTAGTCACCATTATTTTACAGATTCCTTGATTATGTAATAATTTGTTGTTAACCCCTAAGAATCAACTTATCTAGGATTCCGTAATTGATTTCCTCCCCTCCTTCAAAAATTAGATATCGTTTTAATACTGTTGACTAGTTAATTGTTTTGATGACATTTAACCTCTTAATTTTCATCCCCCCCCCTCTATACCTAAAAGTGATGAACTAAATTAACCACCTGATTGGTGAAATTTTGATGTAAAAAAATGTATATTAGTGTAAAGTCGACGACGAGGAACTAATTGAAAAAGAATATATTTCTTCGCTCAATTTGTTTGTTTTTTTTAATGCGTAAATGAGGATATGGTTCTCCACCAGATAAGTTTATTTATCATAATAGTAATAATAATAATAATAGCTCTATTCTGGACAAAATGTTTACACAAAGTACAGAACTCTTAGAGTAATTTATTGCATATTATTCTCCGTTTATTCAGGATCTCCAAGCAAAAAAAGCAATCTACCATATATCACGTCACGTGACGCAATACTGTCCGAACTGAAGCATAGACCCAGTCCTTTTACGGTATTTTCAAATTTCTCTGTTGGATGAAGGAGTAATGTTAACATGCCAGAGAGTAAAGGATCTATTTACAGGCAAGAATTAAGTGATAGTTGCAACATATGGTGCCCTTAAGTCATCAGCTAACATTAACAATCACTTTATCTCTTCATAACACTTACTGTTACTAATCGGTCATGAAGCTGGCGCATTAAGAGCACCACAAAATGCAACACATAAAATTATGTTTTTTGTGAGGTCTGAGATACTGTCCTGGCATCCAAAATCAACTAGACGGTTTTTATAAAGAGCCACTGTTTGAGCCACCAATCTGAAATTTTAATCAGCAAGGCAGCAGCACAGCAACCACAGGATGTGGAATTTTATGGTTGATGGAATGTGGCTCGTTAGCTCTAAACAATGAATCTTTGATTGGAAACCTGCTTCACTTACTTCAATCAAGGCGAATGAGTAGTAACACCAGCCCTCATACAATACGCATGGCTTATAGCCTTTCATATAAGCAAATCGCTCCCCGTTGTGGTGAGAGCGGTCTACTAGCCAAGTGGTGGACAGTAATTGAGGTCAATGTTTATGTATCAAATATTAGTCATGTTGTGGTGAGAGATGGTTGCTGGCCAAATTGGTTGACAGTAATTGAGGTCAAAGGTCAAGGTGGACAGGCGGTTACAGTTAACATATAGATGAACTGACACAGCCACAAGAGATGCAAGGTTAACTTGTGTGAGAAACAACCAATCAACAGGCTGTATTTTCTACTAACATTGACCTACAATAATGTACATAAAAATCTATAAATACGTGTTGATTTTTCGTAATAAACGATCTGTTGCCTGGCCCTTGTCTTCTGTTGTTACATTTGGTGTCGCTGCCTACCGACAAATGGAAAGCCTATGCCATGCAGTTTTTGATGAAGACATATGGATCTTCGGGCAGGACTTTGAGGCTTATTCGCAGTTGAGTGGCGTTCAAGATCTGTCAGCGATAAGGCTGCTACTTGGGACGCTGCTGGGAGGTCGGGAGAAAGCAGCATATGGAAGTGTGAGGCGAAATACCTACGAATGTGCGACAGGGTCAGGCAAACAGTTTCCAAAGTGGGAAGGACCATATATGGTCACGTTGAGATGGGGTTACGCAGACACAATCGCAATGGTAAACACCGTTAAACAAGTGGACATCCGCAAGCGCCGAGATTCCAGACAGCAAGACAACAGAGCAAAGCCCCAAGAACCGAGAAGACCGAGCCGACTTCAGTCCAAACTATTTGACGGGGGGACGAGTGTGGTGAGAGCGGTCTACTAGCCAAGTGGTGGACAGTAATTGAGGTCAATGTTTATGTATCAAATATTAGTCATGTTGTGGTGAGAGATGGTTGCTGGCCAAATTGGTTGACAGTAATTGAGGTCAAAGGTCAAGGTGGACAGGCGGTTACAGTTAACATATAGATGAACTGACACAGCCACAAGAGATGCAAGGTTAACTTGTGTGAGAAACAACCAATCAACAGGCTGTATTTTCTACTAACATTGACCTACAATAATGTACATAAAAATCTATAAATACGTGTTGATTTTTCGTAATAAACGATCTGTTGCCTGGCCGTTGTCTTCTGTTGTTACACCCGTAACAGTTATAACCAACTAACTAACTAGCAATGACCAATACAGGCTCCATCCTATACTGTAAAAAGCCCTTCAACTGAGAAATGATTCGACAAATCTATGGACAGTTTGTCAGGTGTATGGTAAGAAGGGGCAGATCATCCATGGAGGTGGTCAAGACACAGCTCAAGGCTTTTTCGAAAAACAATGTTAGTTGAAATACAATTTTATTGGAAGAAAATTAGGGGTGATAAGAACAAAACATGGTACCTATCCATGATGTTATTACCAGTCAGTTCGGATCATGTAGAGAAGTGATGATTGTGTCTGAGGTCGCTACATTTGGGGATTCTTGATGACATACCTCAAGAATCTACCTACAATACATATCTAACAATAAACATATGTACATAAATGAATGAAACTACCATATTGTCGTTATCATTATTAATGTCACAAAGTACAGATTCCTCATGAGTACCGGTAAAAATTAGACCTATATTCATTTATTGTTCCTTGTTATTCAACAGCTGAATCGCTATTATTAGATGGTTGGAGGCTATCGGAAGGAAGCCTTGGTCCCAGGTTAAGTGTTTGTTGGCACTCATCAGCAAGGCGTACCTACAAGCTTGAAGGAACTCATGTGCCTTCTAACCATCTAATAACAGCAATTCAGAATGCTCACCGTGATGGTGAGCCACCTAGCATGATGGTCACAGTTCAAACTTAACTGATAGAATTCAGTTTGCACCAAACAAAGAACTGGACGCATAGCACTAGTTACTTACTTCTTAATGTTTGATCAAAGTAGCTAAGCATAGCAATGTTCCAGCTAATCCAATCATAAGATTTTATCAGCTAATCAGCATTTTGATTATGATAAAGGGTTGTGCAATAATATGACTTAACTGATGCCTATTAAATAGCTTGACCATGTTACATTCAAATGTTATAAAAACGATTAGAATACATAATCATAAGTAAATCAGAGAGAAAGAAAGAAACTAACCGTAATTTCCTGACCAACTCCCTATCATCTTCATGTATTGAATGAATCGATGATGAAACATTACTGACTGAATCACTATACTACAATTAAAAAAACAACAACTTGAACTGAGAATGTAACTAATACTGTGCGGGACACATGCACATCAGATAGAAAGTATAAAAAAGCAAAAATAGTGTGCACTTGTAATTTTTTGGTGTTGGTCTTTGTTGGATTGAACTCAACTGATCCACTTTGATGCGAAAGCCCTATGAACAGATGCCCTAATACTGTGCTTAAAACTGGATAGAAATGGAGTTCTTTAGTATCAACTAAGTGGAAAATGGTCTGATGTTTGATATGATGACCGATATATCCCTGTTCAAAAAAAAAAAGTAATCACCGCCTTATTTGTACGATTTATATAAAGATGGTCTGCACTGATTCCTAGTTTAAAGATAGGGGGTGAAGTGATTGAGTGCATTGATAACTTCGCTTATTTGATAAGCTGCACTAGCCCATATGGACTGATTACTGATGAAATCTCAGAGCGGATATAAAACACTCATATGGCAGTTGCCAAAATACGTCACCCTATGGCGCAGACGTCATATCCAACTATTGACGAAAGGACGCGTTAACTGAGCGGCAGTTTGCTTTGTCCTCCTTTATGGCTGTGGAAGATATAAAGAGGCCAGCTGTCTTTGACCACAGATGTTCGTGCCATATCTTCCATGTAAAGTGACATAATATGCTAGTAAGGAGGGTAAATCAATCGATGAGGTTGTGAAGCTACATCAGTTGGGATGGCCAGTTAGTATAGTAGAATATGATACAAGTGCATCTACTCGAAATTACACTGCTCTCACAGTATATAAGCACGTATTATCACCGACCAACACACACAAGCTAGCAGCATACAACTGTATCACAAGGTGGAACACATGATTATGTTGAAAACAGAATCCATACACAAATCAACAAGACAGGTTACAATTTATGCTTTGAATAACTTTAATACTGACTCTAAGAACTTTGTCTGCAAAAATTCTTCATCAGGCTATCCAATGGAAATAGTGAAATGTAATTTACATTTAAGTAAATAGTGACCCATTGTTATACACATTCACCATCAACGCAACAGGTCATGCAGGCTTTGAATTTCTCTCAACAGGCTACAATTCGATAAATCAAATGATATCAACAGCTTCGCCTACCTTAGATACTTGTGTCCGTAGACAGTAGGAATGAAAACACCAAACAATCAGTAATAAATAAGGTTTACTTTTGCATACACCTACGCTTTGAAAAATCTGTTTGCCTAATAACCTAACCATTTTCCCTGGTAAAGTAATAGACTCATCTTCTCTGTTGTGCCACAAATTTCATCAAAAACAAAATAAGCAATAGCTGAACCCAATGATCATTATTTCTTATGGATAGATATTAACCCTCAACAATCGAGATATCATCAACACATTTAGTCAAGAATCACTCACTTGAGATATAAAAAAACACCCAAGCTTAATTTTCCAGATACAGCACACACGCAAGCACATGGGAGTGAACGTGTAAGATACATGTACAAGACTTCGATCAATATATTTAATCCAGTGTTACACAAATCGAGCAGAGCTTCAAATAAGTGGTACAGCCGAGAGTGAGTAGACTTCGACCCTACTCTCAAAATGATCACACGTGGCCATGCATTCACAGCCTGTACCAAACATATAACTCCTATTCACTGCCTTCACACAGTGCGGACGGGTGTTCGTCACAAAAGCGATATGGCGAATCCTGAAGTCTGTGACTTACAACCGGACTGGTGCATATGCAACTCTACCTAGAGGAGCTAGCAAGCCCTGATTCCAAACCTATATTGTACATATGCTCCAGAATCCGAAAAAAATGAATGGTATATGGTGAACCTGTTTTGGCCACCGGAAACCATATATATATATATATATATATATATATATATATATATATATATATACGCACAAATCACTTACGTTGGATTTTCCATTCTTCCCTTTTTCTGTTAACTTTGATAAATCATTTAGACAATTTGTACAATCTTTATAACTTCGATTGAAATCTTCAAATAACTGTTTTAAATTAGACATTGACTTTAAATACTCCGATGGCATATTGAATGTATCACTTTCGTGTTGTGAATAACTTTGCAATAAATTTTCGCATAAATTATATTCCTTAAAAATTACAAGAAATAATTGAAAACAAGAAAGTTCATGTTTGAAAATATGAATATAGGACAACAAAAAAAAGTTATTAGAGACAGATTGGGAAGGATGTAGTGAACTGACTTCTACACTGATTGCATTTTAAGGTGAAAGGAATGCTCATCGAAGACATTGGTGAGGGTAATATTCCATCACAACTTGACAAAGTTAGGATTCACGGGTCATTGGATTCCTACCCAATTGGTTCTATAAGCTCGCCTTGTAACCAAAAGGCCCTGAGTTCGAACCTCAGTGGGTGCGTACCAATGAAGAGTCCCAAACTAGGAGGAAACGGCTGTTTAGTACTCCCAGGTCTTCCAATGGTCCACTAACCGATGTCAGTTCATGATGAAATCCTGAAACATTATTATTTACCGAATGATGTTTCAGGTACAGTATCTTATTCGTAGTCGTACCAAGATAATCTCGCACGACTTTACATGCTTAAGTAGCGTGTGCTACTGATACGATTTATCAGTAGCATATATATAAAGGGATGTTCATCGGTTTGAAAAACATCAAACAGCAGGGAGATGGATTTGACATCAGAGAAAGCAAATGATATAGAGTTGCAGAGATACATCCACAGGAACAAACAAAGTGATATATACATATTGACATTACCAGAAACGCACGATCCGGGTTAACTGTCTGCTGGAAAATGTGATTCTCAAAATATCTGCTTGACGTATCGTTCTCAGACACTTGGTAAGACTGTTTTTGAGAATTTCGACTAAAATATCAGCTTTGAACTCCAGGTTCATGAAGTGAGTTCTTCTAGAAGCAGTTGCAACCTTCGTTCTCTCTCACATTTCAATAAATCCAAGTGGATACCCGCTTTCCAATAAGCTGTAGTGTAAAGATTTCGAATCATTCTTAACTATATTTTCCGAACAGCTTTCGCTTATCTTTGAGCACAACCAACGTACTAGATTTTGTTTTCTGATCAAAGGAATATAACTCTGGAAGCTAATAAACTGTCTAGCTCATGTTAGTTTTCGGTATGCTGACCTAGGATAGAGTTATTTGGTGTACCAAAGCTATATTCCGTTTATTACACCTAATTCTTGGTATTATTCAATCACAATGGTAACAAAATCCTCCTTACGTTTGAAAAGGAGCTTGAGTAATATGACATTAGTCAATGGCGTAACACAGAAAACTTCTAAACCCGAAACTTTTAACTAGTGATGTGTTAGCACAGAAAAGACCCACTAAAAATAAAGGACAAGAAAAAGGTCAAATTAACAATGCAGATTACCAGGACGGAATTATATACACCACTTTTTCGAGTAATCCTCCAGCTGTGACCCTTTTCTCTGATTATCACTCACCCACGCCGACAGTGAATAACCAACAATATAATAGTGTAATAGTTCCGAAAACCTTAATATTTTAGTCTTCGATAACCTACAGCTATGTGGATTATCACCGCTGAATAACCACAAGATAAAGTTAAGCAACTATTTAATGCTCCCCAGTTTGTAATTGCACTTTGACTGAAAAGAATCAAATCCCCGCAAACCAAAAGTCATAGTACACATGCTAACAGTTCACACACACACACACACTAGGCTTACTGACCTTAACGACACGTTGAACAATTTGACTGCTTCTTGTTTGTATTTGTTTGAATTCTTGTATTTGATAGGAAATAGATTGTAGTTGACTTTGTAGATCAGCTTCACTACTTTGTCTTTCTTCTATTGTCTTCAATAACTCCTTATTTCTGAATAATAAATAAATGAATAATATAAGTGATAAACAAAATGAATATTATAAAGAACAGAAAAATCTACTACTTGCAAGTAAGTAATGAGTGTAATTCACGGATAAAACATGGATGACAACAAAATACGGACTAAGGAGATCCACTTGAAGATAATGTCAATTGAAAAATCGATTAAACTACTTGATGTTACTTAATAGTATAATATTACAATAGAGATAGGTTAAACATGAGTAACACATTATAAAGATACTTTAAACAGTGAAGGTTTCAAATGTCTACAAAGGACTGTCAGAACGAAAAGATACATACAATTAATGTCATCCAAGTAAGCTGTGTTCTTTTCGAGGTCTTCATCGACTCCGAAAAGGCCTTCAATAGAGTTGATAGAGAAGTAATTTGGAAACAAATTCAACACTGCGGCGTACAGTGCCCAAATCTTAATCAACCTCATTGAACAGCTATATGACGATGCCATGTGTCAGGTGATCCACAACGATAAATTCAGTGAGGTGTTTGAAGTGATTATATGAATAAGACAAGGTTGGCTGCCTATTTTCACTTATGATATTATTAACTGTGGTGGACGAGGTTATGAGTCAGACGGTGGGGAGTGAGGAGACAGGAATACTCTAGATTACCTATAAGAAGATCCTAGAAGATCTGGATTTCGCAGGTGATTTATGTTTAATGTCACGCAAACTCGAAGACTTACACGCGGAAACCAACAAACTGTCTGCAGAAGCACCGAAAATAGAACTTCGAGTGAAAATAGAGAAGAGAGAGGTGATGAAGACAACCAACAACAAGCACTAATCATCATCGAAGGGAGAGATGTGACAGAGGTTACTTTCTTCACTTATCTAGGAGGCATTGTTTCAACCACAGGCAAAGGGAACCAATGAAGATGTCAAAGCCAACCACAATCGTAAAGGCAAGATACGCCTTCATCAACCTGAAACCAGTTTGCAAACCTTCTGCTTCACTCAGCGTAAACAACAAGACTCGGATTTTCAACACCAATTTCTAGTCGGTTCTTCTATACGAGTCAGAAACTTGCATTGCGTGTAACGAAAAAGATTTCCAATAGGCTACTGCAGACATTTATCAACAGCTGTTTTCTCTGTCTCCATACTCAAGATCAAATGGGAGGCCGGAAAGAATTAGCAGCAAGGAATTCTGGCAACAAACCAACCAAGGGCCGATCGCTCAACAAATATGTAGGAGAAAATGAAGATGGATCAGGCATACGTTGAGGAGGCCATCCAATGACATTGCGCGCAATGTAGGCGATTGCTCGACTGGAATCCCAATGAGAAGCGACGAGTGGGTCGTCAATGAGAGGATGACAAGGAAGATATCTTGTGAGGAGGAGATGAGAGATTATAGGCAATTGTGGTCCAAGCTGAAGAGGACGGCAGAAGATAAGACAAAATGGAGGTGTGTTGTTGAAGCCTTATGTTCCACCCGGAACTTAAGGGAATAATGAAATAATAATACGTAACCTGGGGATTAAACATACCTCCTTAACCTAGATCAAAGGCTGTGTCACTGACTTTCTATTGGTACGTTGCCAATCAGTTAGAATACAGTTTTTATACATTCAACTTGTAAGTTATTGGGTTATGTAAAACAACTATATAATATAAACAGCTACAGTTTCGGTTATTCACCCTTTTCCTGGAAGAATAAATCCTGCCTTTTCAATCTGCCTTCTGTGTCTTATCGGCGTGGAAATATTATTCGAGTGGTCAGTCACAAACTGTTGTGTGTGTTGAAGTACTGTGGTTGAATAAAAGCGGTCTACCTGGGTAGCAACCAGTCGGTTAGAAGGAATCCTTAACCATGTATCATGTGGGCACTACCAAACAACCTATCTTGCCTAAACATGTACGACTAACTTGTTCGTTGTTCAAGTGGCAACTCAATCACGCCCTCAGTTTAACCACACGGAAGGTTAGAATGACCTGCACCATTAAAAGTGTTAAGAATATCTTAATCCTTGGGTTAATAAGACTTTTGATCCTCTGATTTTTCAAAAATTGGTTCTGAGTTCAAGGTTAATACTCCAGCTTACTTTAGTCTAGCAGACAGCTAGTGCAACTCGTTAACTATTGCCAGTAGATAAAAACAATTTGAAACAGTCAACTGAATTACATCGCATATTTTTGTCAATTTTGATCACGAGCTGATAGTAGTTAGAGAATCATTAGGGAAACTGGTAGTACTGGACAGCCGCCTCATTCTAGTTTGGGATTATTTAACAGTACCCTTCCATAGGGCTTTGAATCCAATAGCTTCCGGTTACAAAGCAAGCTCGTAGACCCTTCTCAACCGCTGGAACCAGATACAATGGTCCATGACCACCAGGCATCAATAGCATAGACGAGTATTCTTCCTTACACCTGACTTGGCGGGCCCGACTGGTTTCCGAATTCTCCCTAGAACTCCAAGCAACTTCGTCACGTAGCCAGCCACTAGTGAGCATCAGATAAAAGTTTTCAAGAGTTAGTTTGCGGGGATTTGATTTGTTTTAAACTCTTGAAAATTTGAAACAAATCAAATCCTTACAAACTGACTTCTTAAAATATCTTTCTTTTTTATTTTTATCAATAAGAGTGTGGAACTACTATACACTTTTGTTAAACTGGATATATGACTGACTGCCACGCGTACTCGGCTTCATAGAATAATGAGTCTTAGGATTAAACACTACTACACCTACTTCTGTTTGGGAAACCAGCTAATAACATAGATCCGTATACATCAAACGTTGTTCATGACCTAACGCTTACTAACTTAGTGTCTAATCTATATCCACCTAAGTGAGTCTGAGCTATTGAACAATTATCAAGAAACGCAGATTACTGAAAAGTAGTTTCTAAAACTCTTGTGCAGTAAGTGATGAGATATGTATGCCTAATCATTATAAACAGTTTTGTATGTGTTTAATTTCTAGCAACATACTTTTGATATAAAAAAAAACTATAGAAATTTAGTGTACACTATAGTTACACATGTATACTGACTTTGCACTGAGTTCACCTTGTTCTGCAAGTAATATCTCATTTTCACGTTCTAATTTTCGTAGTGTGAGCGATGAAGAACTATCAGTTGATCCAGGTGAACAGGTTTTAGACACTAAAGTGTTCATTAAAGTTTCTTTTTCAAGAAGAGAATTCTCAGCCATTAATGCTCTTTCACGCCACTTCTTTAATAATTCGATTTGATTACGTAATTCTGAATTTTCTTCTTCAGTAATAAGCCATTTAGCACGTTCTTGACTGAGTGTTTTAAACGCTGTTTTCATTCGATCATGTTCCATTTCCAATTTCGCTACATAACCAGCACCTCTTACAAATCGATCATAGCCTTCCGGCATTTTGGTTCGATTCGATTCAACAGCAAGTCGCTCCTCCAAAACTGTTTTCTCTGAAGTTAATTTCTGAAGTAATAAAAAAGGATGATGATAATTAAACAGCTGAGAAAAATCGAAAGAATGTAGATTCTCTAATTAGGATATATTCAAAACAGACCTTGATATCAGTAAAGACTATAAAAATTATTGTTATGATGCAAACTTGAACCAGGCTAAGTACAAAGTGAAAAGCCTACCAAATTATTATGAGTTTGCTGACACACAAATCTCTTTTTTGACTAGAAAGCCAGACTAGGTTCCATTACAGGTTGGTTGTACTGCACTAGGTCATGTCGGTTTTTCTACACAAGTGAGAATTAGAGCTTGTAAAAGCAGCAGAATTTTTTAAAAAAGCATCGAACACTTAACTAATATTTCCTGCGTAATCTAAACAGAGAATAGTGGAAGTATCAACTTCACAGTGTAGGAGATAGGTATATCATAAAGTAAGTCAGTTGATGGAGTTGTAAGCCTTCAATGACTAAAGTAAACGTGACATCTGTAGTATACAGTTAGTCACGTCTTGACGCAGAATGCCATTGTCTACACTAACATTACTGTATGTACTTATTCCCTTGTTGTGTGATGTCATGAATTCTGATTAATTCAGCTTTTCGTCTTCCTTTATATTTGCTACCTGGTGTGCTATTCAGTAATGGAAAAATTGTACGTTGATAACACCTGTCTGCCTAACCTCAATTTTGAATGCATGCTACTGGACATCAGCATGGCTTGTATATTGAAACTTATATTATTTTAAATCACGAAAAATACCCATTTATTCATATATGTATATTGACTGAGCAATTATTTAGTGCCACTTAATGACCTTTTCTGTAATATATATAAATACGACTGTACAGCTTGAAAATGAAGTCGTTGAAAAGAAATTTCTTCGCTGAACAAAAACTGTGTTTTTACTTATATTTTCATAAAATCCCAAAATTGAGAGTAAATTAGTGCACTGTTAAATCAATAGGCGCTACGTAAATTAGGTATAATATCCAGAGGGAAAGCTAAAAAATTTATATGTACAAGATTGTGGGTTACAATTAATCTTTGAAGACTTATGATAGGTATTATCTAGTTTCTTAAACCGAACGATGTAAGGTAGAGTTTAGAACTGGAACTCATTGGCTGAAAGTCATATCCTTAAGCCAGTGATTCACATCTTTACGAGTATTAGGCAGATGGTAGTTCAGTCGAAAGTGCGAATTCGCATTAACTGAGATGGTCGGTGTGTAACTAACGCAAGTACAAAAACTGTTTATCTCTAGCTAACTTGAAAGCTGGTTTCATACAAGTGTTTGTTGACAGCATGGAATCAATGGACTTTTGATGCAAATGAATGTTCATTGCACTTGAGGTTATTGGAATAAAAAACGCGAATAGTTCCGTAAAATTAATGTCAATTTTGATTGAAATTGACATCAATACTCTGATGTTGCCAATGTCGACGACTAACAACCACTATGTCCGTCATATGAATGAACTCACTCATTTTAATTAAAATAAACTCAGTATGGAAATGCACTACACTAATATCAAGTTTTGTAAAAAGAATGGGACAAAGATACGAGAACCCTGATTGAAGTACACAACTGCCTTATAGTATCGTTTCTTCAGTAAAGGAATTTTAGTAACTTTTACTATGGAGTACAGAATAGGTTCTTCAGTCCATATGCATCATCAATTTTATATCAGGGTTATCTAATTCTTCTGAAAAAAACTTCTTTGTCTAAAGGTTTATAGCTTAAGCGTGGGAAACTCGCAGTCGAATCTTCATTGCTGCAGGAACATCCTTTTCATTGTTAGGAGAACACTCAAAAGATCGTCTGAAAACATAATGAGAAAGGAGAATAGAAAACGCTGTCCACCTCCAGCCATAACAGCATCTTTCGAAGCACAAAGTAGATTAACTGCACAAACTGGTATCTGGGCTGCTAGACTGTTATACCTCATGGATCCAGACACCAAGGTTCACACAGATTGATGGTGTCACTAAGCCACATACAACGTATGGCTGATTACTGAGTCAAAGAGGGAGTCAGAATACCAACAATACAGATAACTGCATACACAACCAGAACACCAATACATCACTTCAAGTTAATACAAGTTTCAGTAATATTACGATAAAGAGCCAACAAAACACGCGATGGAATGAAGTCCAAAGCAGAAGTTTTAATTGGGAAGTTGTAAAAAGAATAGCCGATTTTTCGGCTACAACATGCAGAATGCCGTTATTGACATTGGTCTTAAATTATGCTACTGAATAGTTGGTAGTGCTGCGAAACTGAAAGAGTAAGCTTATTTATTCAAATTACTGAAAAAGTAGTTATGCTCAGTAGTAGTTTAATGCCATGCCAAAGTTAACTTACTGTAAAGTTGTGATCACTGACGCAGGCGTTCGCATTTAACAGTCATACACATTTTTCTATAATAGATAATGAGCGACGTTTTGATGCTAACGGCCAAAACCTAGATAAATGGAGTACATTTTGGATCTGTTACCCTATGTTCAACGTTAAGTGCCAAATCAAGTAAATCTATAACTCAACAGAAGTACTGAATAAAAAAGCACCCAGGTTTTGTGAGTCAAATAGTTAAGACTTTATAAATCCAGTCTTAATGGATGGAAAAAAACTATAATGAAACAGAAAACATTTTGCAATAAAACATCTTACAACATAAACGTGAATGCAAATAGGAACTCACAAAGACAGTTGATTTCAACTCTGCTAACTCTTTCAATTCTGCAGATTTTTCCTCCACATACATTTCCAATTCTTTCAATCGTCTTTAGAGGGTGAACGGTTTTTTTAAAGAAAAATTGAACCTTACTGTGAACGTAAATCAAGTAAAGCCTCCAATTCTTTAACTCTTACTTGAAGGTTAGCATGAGCACTGTGTAATTCAGTAATTTGTTTTTCATATTTCAGTACTTCATCTCTTAAGCGTTCTGCTTCCTAAAATTATAATATTAATAATAATAATAGTAAATACACAAAAAGTATTTTAATTTTAACAATAAGTACCAATTTTTCAACATCAAAAACAGATACGGTTCAAAGTGTAATAACATTATTTACTCAATATGTTCCACTGGGAACATGAAGGAGTAAAAAAGACGGTATTGAAGTGGATAGCGATCTCACAAATGTAACACATGTTGCAGCCATCTTACTCGATTGTGTTTTACAACCTTAACATCTAGTTTACTTTTTTATCTGTATCTTCACGTTGCTCATGTAGTGATATCAACACACTGAATGAATTATACGATAGATGTGGTGATCAAAATACCCAAAACTGTCTTAAAATGCATTAATGCTCAATGCTTATATACCACTAACGATTGACAGTATGGTATTAACGAGTTAATACACTGTTGTCGGTGGTTTAGTGGTAGAATCCTAGCTAACCACACCTCATGTGGTCCGGGTTCGATTCCATGAAGACAGACACACTCATAAACCTCGCTTAGCCAATAGTAAACCCCGTAGAGAGAGAAGGTTAAGTGTGAGGTCACCAACCCCACTCCGTAAAGGCAAAATCATCCCTACTGAAACTTCAAGGCTACAGTTTGAAGCACTATTTCCCACTGGGGATACAGATGAATGAAAAAGAACAATAAACAAGAAAGGTTTCTTGTTACTGAAACTTAAGTAAAGAAAAACTAGATCTACTTTTAAAACTGTACATATTGCAGCCAAAAGCCCAAACTAATTAACAACAGCTCCACACGGATACATCGAGTATATCAAATAAGCTTTACATCAATACGAATGATTGATCATCCACTGTAAAGAAAAAGGTTCAATCAAGATACAGGTATTCATATGTAAGTGGTAATCATAACATTCTGATTTTTTACTGAATACGCGCCTATTATCATCATGCCACAATGACCTTTAAGAATGTCCTATCAAACATACTGGACAGATTTCATTGAGTATGCCATTGGGTATCATTTGATTCTGCTATATATGTTAGTTTCTTTGCATAGTTGCATAGCCAAAGATGATTAATGTTTATTGCAGGCTTTTAGGTTAAAAAAATATTGTAATCATTCTAGATATATGGTATGATCAATGTACTTTATATCATGGTGGAGCTGTGGCTAACTGATTTAAGCACTCGACCTCCAACTACTGGGTTAAAATTTCGAACGCTGCTCCACCTAAAGAGGTTTGGTCAATCGGGTGGTGTCACTAGTCTTCACACAAAACAGGTGCAGCTTATTGCCAACTGTATAGAAATATAAGTGTTTGTGGGGTGTTTTTTTAAATTTTACTTTATATCCCGACTAGTCATGCAGTCCAATATGCATACAGATTCGTATGGATATTTTACATCCTCACAATTAACATGATAACAGTTTCTCGAAGGTATTATTGTTCATACACATACAATGGTTTCATTACGCTGCAGCTAAGAAACTGTGGTGTACAGAAACGAATTTTTTTACCCTGTTATAATAATGTCATCAAAAGTTAAGAAGGGTCAGATTTATAACTGTTAGTTATGTAGAGAAAGCCTGAAGTGATTGTGCAATTACACCCATACTAACTACCTTACTTAAGATATCATTCAAATAATGAATAATAGACCAGACCACTGGATATTTTAATGCAATCCAATAGTAATTGAAAATCACAAGGTCTAGTGTTATCACATTCCAAGGGATTCTTGGATAAATTAAGGTAACTTGCTATACTTTAGATGAGAAATTATATGTCTCTTGTTACTGATCTAATTCCCATCTTGCTGCCATGATTAGTGCACTGAAATAATTACCTAACAGTACTCATACTTACTGTTGTAGAATCAGCCTATTATGTATAGATATCACCACTATCACTAACAATAAGCTAGCTAATTCAGAAAGAAGTGTATTTTACTCGTCTAAAACGAATAAAAATAATTTTAGGGAATATAAAGAGAAGGTATGCAAAGTAAAGGCAGCCTAATCAGACTGTCAGAGAGGGCGAACATGATAGATCATTGGCTGTTAATTAACTGCTACTGATGTACGAATACATGACATTCGAAATAACCTATTACTCTTCCACAAATCAATTCTATTCCACTTGTTTTGGCTTCCTACGGAAAAACATAATAAGATATTTGTTGACGGCATTTGTTAAGTTAATAGATGTCAAGACTCGTTTGGTAGTAAATAGCAACCTCAGAGGTGAATAAGACCTAAAACAAATACACGAAGTTTGGCGAAGGCCGACAAGTCCAGATGAAACAGTAGTGTGGAATTTGTAACCACTTACTTCAAAAAAAATCCTCCGGGTAAATACAATATACAGTACTTAGCCCCTTAGGACGATTTCGTCTATTATTAGCTTATGGAGATGAAACAATTTTAAACTCAAAAATTACGTGATGGTCTATAGGCTCTATAAGTTAGTAAAAATTACAAGTAAAGAAAGCGAGAAAAATTAACCTACTGAAGTCAGTGATGATTCCACACCGTTAGATGATTGAAGCACTGAATTCATACGATCATCAAGAGTTCTTCGAAGACTGGTAAACTTTGTCTGATCACAGCTCCTTTCGAATTCTAATAATTGATACTTTCGTTTTAGAGAATTGTGTTCACTGAGCAGGCTATTCTTTTCTGATTCAATGATCTTAAAATATACAAAAATAACTTGAGAAATACCTCTTTTTCAGTCTTTAAATGCTTCATTTTAGATTCATATTTGATTTGTGCAGATGACAGGGCGAATTCACTCGAAGACTTCTGTGCACGAACAATAGATAATTCAGATACTAAATCGGAACCTAATGTAAGATTCATTATCCTCAATTCATCAAAATAATTACCATCCACAGTTTGACTTATATGAGTATCACAAGGATTGTAACGACAAACGCTCATTTCATCGTCCATATTGTATAGAAACGAAACCACAAAAGTTGGTACCGAGAGTAGGTATCTAAAATTTTGAGTACTTTTTCTAAAATGAAGAGAAAGATATACTTGTTAAATATAATGAATGTATAAAACATTGATAAGTTTACAACTAATATTACTTGCGATCCAGGCGAAAAACAGAAATCTGCACTGACCGCAACACACGCATAGAGAGCTCTTTATACATTTTCTAATTTCCATTATTTCAAATATCTAACTAATTATCAAAGTGAGTGTATTGTAAGGAACAACTTCACTCCTAGAAAACTAAGTTATAGTTGTTAGTACATCATACGACTAAATAATTCCAATGTTGAAACAGTTTAATCATTAAATATACAAATATTTTGTTATAACCTGAAATTCCAAACGACATTCTGCCACATATTTATGTCAGTTTGGCGAACAGTTATGAACCTGTATTGAAAAGCCACAGCCACATACACACCTTCAGATTACCTATGGTATCGTCGCAATGTTAGTTTGCCGGCAGATACCAATCAGGTTTACAACACTTAGTCGAGTTTGATTCCAATGAAACCTCCAAAAACAGGACTGAATCACTGGTTTCAACACAGAACTTTCCATCGATGTGCAACAGTTCGAGTCGCCACACTCCATGTAGCACACAAAGCAAGAGAAGAAAGTAGATGTGTAAGTATAATACACTATGCCGGTAAATGCTTTTAGTCTAGTCGCCAATCTTAAAGTCTTCCTGGCATGGTGGGACATGCAGGAACATTAGTTACAGCCGGTGTAGCTTGTTGGGTCATTGAGATTTACAAGCCCGATCACCACGTCAAGGTAGCAGCTATCGGTCGGCTTAACTCCTGACAATGACAATCCGATAGGACTTAATTCCATATTGTATAGGTTCATTTGACATAACAGCGATGCAATGTTACTACGTGGACGACGTTTCGAGCACAAAAATTCGGCAAGAGTAAACAACTGACACCAAAGTTAAGTAACCTTGATTTGACCAATAAGATAGCTCAGCATTACAAATGGTTCCTAGTCATAATCCTCTTTGAAAATGTCTCCGAGATTTGGTTTTTGACTTCTCTGTAGATAATGTGTTGATAGGGAGGAATAAAACATGCATGTGTGGAGGGAAAATAAGTCTGGAAAAGTATTGCCGGGCTATTGGTGATTATAAATTCAGATGTAACCACTTTATATGAAGAAGTCTGTAAAAGTTGGTAAGTCGTACATAACTGGTGATTTTTTAGACACTTTCTTCTCTAAATCAAAGCTCTCCCTTAGGAATATATTGCATATATGCAACCAGTATCTGCTACAGCTGGAGAAATAGAGAATACATTGGTCTGATGTGTCTATAACCACTTCTATAAGAATCTAAGACCAGTTTTCGCAGAATTTTAGAGATATGTGCCCTATGGATTAACATTTTAACACACTGCCTAAGTTTAACAATTACATTAGTCAAGATTTAGGTTCGAAGATTCGCAAGATTATTGGAGAGATGATTATGGATCATGGTGTCCTGAGATCCCTTCAAATTTATATATATGGGGTCAAGCTGCGCGTATGTACAGAGCAGAGTTTGGTGACGTATTTTTAGTGTGGGTATATGCAAGAAAACAACACCTACCTTAAGTCACCTCTTCCACCCGTAACGAAAAGTTTCGAAACTGCTACCAACGTCCAATATCCAATACCTTTTCTATCAGCTGGTGTGAATCAAATTGGCTGAAATTAAACATCAAGTACAAGGTCATTGGTGGAGTGAGACGCTCAAAGGTCATTTTCATCCATATTAGTCGGCCATGATGGATTGCAGTTCCGTAGCTGTTCGCTTACACATTGGTTTTTTCCGTTTACCCAGCAGTTATTCACAACTTATCTTGATGCACATTGTTCACAAATGTTGCATTTCACTTCATTATTGTTTCCGTTTCTGTTAAAATTAGTTATTTCGTTTGTTTTGAAAGTTTTTTCCACCAGGTCAGTGCATTCATTTCATTGTAATTGTTTCATACGTTGCATTCATGCATGGCTTCAGTGTTTTAGTTGTTTTTCAGATATTAATGAATTAGTACTGTGTAGAAATTTTGGAGATTATGCACGTGAACATGTTTGGGAGGCAGAAGCCATTGTTTCCCGTTCATTCTTGGTTACCGTTATTGTTGCTGGCTCAGTTGGTTACTTAATATGTAGGAATCTGGAAAAAATATCTTTCCCGTTCATGTTTACAGCAGGCAACTATCTACGAGTGAATCTGGTGAAGAGAGCTCGATCAGGGTTGATATTAGCAAAGTTTTCGAAGAACTAATTAAACCTAGAGAATTTAGAACCTGGTTTGAAGTTTAAAATGCTTTGGAGCTTTTCGACAAGGTGTCTGTTGTCAGCTAAAAAATCAGATATATTGTGAGAGAATCAAAATCAAGCAAGGGTGAGCCACATGTGAAGTATGAATGTGTGGTGTTTGTATGTACTTTTGGAAGCAAAATTAGGAAGCAATAGGAAATCCCTAATTGATGGTTAATGCCTAGTGTACTAGATCCAAACGCATGAACTAGGACTGCCTGTAGTAAACGCGATGTTTACAACCATTCAATTTGTTTCAAAACGATTTGAAAAGCGGCTAACGTACGATGATCTGGTGAGTGTTCGGTAAGAATTTCACTAGCAAGAATAACGTTTCGAATTTACAACCGTCTGAGAAGCTGATTATTAATCGGGGTGAAAAAATCGGCTGGTTACAAATTACTTGTTTCAGTTCAAATAATGAAATTCCTATTTTTCGGATGCTTGTGATTTCTCCGTGGTTATAAACACGGTTGCCCATGATTTATAAGAAAACTTTAAATAAATTTTCTTTGAACCAGTGGTCTTCTTTTTCTTGGCGAAGCATCTATTGAGACGATTAGGTAGCAAAGTAGAATGTTTTGTGATTGAGAGTCGTAGTCGTTGAGTTTCGGATTTATATCGCGCATCTAATTGCTATAACCCTATGAATAAAGCTTTTTCCTTATGGTGCATTATGATGTCTAGAAACCATAAGCACACTGCCTTCGATAAATTTGTTTTTACTTTTTAAATGACAGCAAATAGTGAGTCATTTGGGGCGATAGGATAAATACCTCTGAACGCTTTCGTGAAGAGATTAGGATATGTTTATTTTCTCGACTAGGAGACGATCTTTTTACCCAGAAAGCTCTCAGGATGTCCGCTTTTACTTTGTAATTCAAACATAACGTTGAGTTGCTCACTTAGGTAGTAGCAAGGGGGTAGCTTAGGTAATGCGTCATAGAAGTTAGCAGTGTATGTCTATTGTGTCTAAATATATTAAACGTTGTAAAGCCGGTCAAATCGTAGTTCTCAAATATGAGTTAGTTTTTTAAATAATGAGTGTACCGTGGTACCGTTTGTGCTCGAGACGTCATCAGTTAATATAACTGTACAACACTGTCTGATTTATCAAAATAAAATCTTATCCATAATGGAGTTATACTCTACCACAGTGCCCAAGTTTTATACTTATATCAGCGTTTACCTTGGTTTGCATACCTAGCTCATGCATGCGTGTGATATACATTTAAGGCTAATACGCTGTTTGATGAATTAGTCCGAGATACTTAAAGTCAGACTTGAGCTCTATATCACTGTCATCAATTTTGCAACGGTCATAGGAATTAACAGCTTCACCTGACTTTCTCTTACATCGGAAACTGAAATTGACAATCTGACATTTGGAAGGATTTAGTTTAAAAGCATTTTCTGACTACTAATAGAGAGCTGTTCATCTTAGTACAGTGTAGATGCGAATTAAAAGACACCGGAATAGTTAGTCCGCGCACTTGACATATTTCATTTCGTATGCGTATGTACATTAAGTTCGTCAAACAAAAATACAATTGGTACTGGACGACTATAATGGAGAAAATGTTGTGATGCAAGACTGCAGCTGCATCTAAATTACTTCTACTGTGTTTATAGGCGAATCATTTGAGATCGTTAAAGGCTTTAAGTGAAGGTTGAAGATTAAGTAAGAGTAACTTTTCCATAGCTTTTACAAAAGGGGAGGTAATAGCAATAGGTCAAAATTTAAAACATGTTCCATTAGACGACTTAGGTACAGGTACAATTTTAAAGTCCTTCCAAACGGCTGGCACAACATTTCTGGAAAAAGATTCATTAAATATGTGAGAGGATATCTGTACATTTTTGAAGAATAAGGCTAGGCAAACAACCTGGAACTACAAGAAGGGTTCAACGACTGGTGATATTTTAGAACGTCATTTAATAATAATAATGATTTACTTTATTCCAAAAACAGTACTTGTGATAAGAATGGAAATTTCAGCATTAATCACAAAATTGCATCTAATTTCCTCAATTATAAAAAAAATTAATCACAGAAAATTTTTCTACATTTACAATAGGGTTAATATAAAAAAATGCAGCATATAAAATGGAAATAATAATAATGATAGCAGCTAAGGTAATGATAATAATACAAGTGGAAATTGCCGTGGGCTTGTTTCACACAGTATTGTCGATGCGGTATACAAATCCTTGCATGATTAAAAATATTGAATATGATGTTCTCTTTACATGATATGGTGAGGGGAAAAACAAAGATTACAGCAGTCATAGAGATAAGTTGGTGTTTGCAGTTATGAAAGTGGAAACAAAGAATCAACAGGACCATAAATATAATAGAAACAATAAAAGTAAAACTTGAAGGTATATAAAGATGGATGGAGGAGATTGTTTATTTTGAAATAATAGAGAAGATTTGTAGCTCAGGTGGATGATTTGCAATTAAAAGTGTTCTCTGAAGAAGAAGAAATTTAAATCATTTCACTCTGTGCTAAGTATGGCGCTGAAGATGTTGTCCGGAAGGACGACGAAAGCTTCGCGACTAAACCAACCAGCTCAGAGAACACTTTTAATTGCAGATTGTTTATTTACTAGATGAAAAAAGGTTTGTATTGAAACCAAGGAAGCAACTCTCACTAACACTTGTGACACCAGAAACCTTGGTATTTGTGGGAGAATGTATGAATGCCTTGTTTACCGTACACAAATCAAATGAATAGGATATACTGTTGTAATATTGGAGCTAATCAGATGCATAAATGCGTAAGTTATTTAATATTCATAAAGTAGATATGCAAACACCGCAGTTGTTGATTATGGAAATGATGGATATTATATAACATCACATGATTCAACAGCATATTAGAAATAGATGAAAATTATTTCTTTGCTCACTGTCAAGTGAACAGTCTATTTGACGATGTCACTGCATATTAACAGATTAGTGAAGTAGCTATCAAGCCTAAGTTATTACACATACTTGTACTTCATACTTGGTGTTTAACAGTGTACAGAATTGCAACTGGCTAGATAAGGCGATTTTAGCGTATCGAACAGTACAGAATTATTATTCAACTTGCTAAGTCCTACTTAGTTTTCACAATGTGCTACTGTATAGAAACAGACACGAAATCTTACGAAGGGCTAAACTAACAGTCTCATAATACTATAGTAAATCTCCATCCCACTAACTAAGCTTAACATGCATTGATCCGAATTCACTTATTACAAAAGCACATAGTACAGCGACGCACTGAAAAAGTCTAGGGGAAGTAGAATTGAAGAGTATATTAAACATTTCATTAATTTACAAAAGAAAATCCCGATGAAGAGTATTAACGTTAGTTTGTCCGGATGATATTTCCGCTGGTTTCATATTCGACAACTTCCGTATACCTAAAAAAAAATAAAGCACATGTAAGGACTAGCACAACATGAAGTTATGAAAGATAATTTTATGTATTAGCACACACTATGAATACACTGATTCTGTTAATACTAAGTAATATCTCATGCACTATAAGCATCAATAGACCTCAAATGTTTTCCAGTTTTAAAGGATTATACGCAAATATCAAGACAATCTTTGAAACTTCCATACTGTTGAGGCGTCATACTCTCATTAACCTTAGTTGCAGATCAACTTCACACTGAATACGTTTACATTAAATGAAGTATTGCAAATGTGTAACTTAGAAATCGATCCATAATCTCAGTAATGTCTAATGAGCATAGTTTTATGAATCCTACAGAAATTACATTCTCATATTTAGGAATCTATAGCCATCAAATATAAGCTGAACATGCTTCAACTCTAAACGGCTATGCACAGTGTTAGCAGCATAGAGAAACATTTAAAATATTGTAAGATACGCAGACCTTTTGTGTTGATGTGGATAACAATGACATATAATGCAACCTAGACATTCGATCGTGACACTGCATCTGTACTGCTTCATGCTAATGGAAAATTCAGGAAAAATTCATCACCACTACTGGTGATCAAAAACAGTGCAGCATTAAGCTTACAGTGCCAGTGAGAATGGCATAACAGACAGTAGATTGATAGTAAAAGAGCTGACTAGATTCAGTTCTCATAATCGACACAATCCATGTGTATAATAATACCATACACTGAATTAATGCACTAAGTGACACAGTAAGGAAATTTAAACGAGTGATTGCCTTCTCCACGGCACTGCACTTGCAATAATCATGACAACCACCTGCGTTTGCTAGCCAAGCAGTCAGCTAAGGAGACAATGGCACAATATAAATAAAGTTGAGGAATTTTTTATACATTGAGTCCACATAACTCATATTACACTACACTAAACAGTGCAAATATACATGATATACACTTAGAAATAACCTCTCAACTTACGACAATTCCTGTCCAAACACACACGGTGAGACACATCTACATGATTACTTCTATTCCCACAGAAGGTTCTGTTAGCATTTACAGGTGATTTCGAAGTACTGATAGAATTCTTTTGTCAAAAAGGACTGTTCTTCACACGTAAATAGGCTGAATTAATATCCTGAGACGTGATGTCTCCATTGAATGATACCATGACGAAAGGTGCAGCATCTAAATAAAGTAGACTATTTGTGTAGATAACATTACCCTTCAACTATCCTATCTTTCTCACTATGGCGATATTTTGCTACAGTTCGCCTGAAACACTGATCGTTGCAACCAATATGCTAGGGGGTGTCGCAGTCGGATTACATGACGCGGACACCAAAATAACAGGCCAGAAAATGGGAATTCTTATCAATCCAGATAACATATAACGCAATTTCATTAAAAATTATTGACAAAAAAAATTTCCAAGGGAAATTTTAACAGCGCTACTAGTACATGGCATTTAACGTCTACCGACGCTCAAAGGTCATTTTCATCCATATTAGTCGGCCATGATGGATTGCAGTTCCGTAGCTGTTCGCTTACACATTGGTTTTTTCCGTTTACCCAGCAGTTATTCACAACTTATCTTGATGCACATTGTTCACAAATGTTGCATTTCACTTCATTATTGTTTCCGTTTCTGTTAAAATTAGTTATTTCGTTTGTTTTGAAAGTTTTTTCCACCAGGTCAGTGCATTCATTTCATTGTAATTGTTTCATACGTTGCATTCATGCATGGCTTCAGTGTTTTAGTTGTTTTTCAGATATTAATGAATTAGTACTGTGTAGAAATTTTGGAGATTATGCACGTGAACATGTTTGGGAGGCAGAAGCCATTGTTTCCCGTTCATTCTTGGTTACCGTTATTGTTGCTGGCTCAATTGGTTACTTAATATGTAGGAATCTGGAAAAAATATCTTTCCCGTTCATGCTTACAGCAGGCAACTATCTACGAGTGAATCTGGTGAAGAGAGCTCGATCAGGGTTGATATTAGCAAAGTTTTCGAAGAACTAATTAAACCTAGAGAATTTAGAACCTGGTTTGAAGTT